CCACTAAATGTAGCATCCTATGATTATGTTATCCCGTGTTCACTATATGCCAGTAGATAAAAAGTTAAGTTAAAGCAATTGCAGCTGAAAAGTTGCATCCTCCCATAAATTACTTATATTTTTCATCCTTTAATATTGATGCATGTAATTGTGTGCCAGTGCACGTAAAATGCTCGTCAGTCGATGGAGATGTGATAGTGACAACTAGATTCAAGACCAAAAGGGCTTTTATCTCTTGCTTGGCGGCGCTTCTTGCTTCCTCTTCTGCTCTAACCTTTTATTTAAAAGCCTCTAGAAGTTTCCTCTTAGTATCATACATTAATTCCTATTTAGGCTTTACATGAAAAAGGCGTACTACTAAGCAAGAGGAAGAGGCCTGGTTATACTCAAATGTGGTTCTCACTATCACAATTCACGCAATGCACGAGGGTAACTAAGCTCATAATTAAAAGCCATGTAGTAGCGTAAATAAATTTTGACCTGAAAATCAGCCTTGGAACCGCGTTTTGGGGCACCATTAACAATAACAGCTGAGCCCGCAGCTACTGCTGCCGCCGTCTGTTCCCGTTGTGCGCGGCGCTCTTTCGCACTGCTGCAACTAGCGCCAGCCCCTGTAGATGTACCTCCACTTCCACTGCCTCCACTAGAGCCAGCTAGCCATCTACGTACTCCCATTCCAGTGCTAGCTCTGCGCTGATGATGTCCACTTTCAGGTCCAGGCATCGAGGTTCCACCTATTAGCAAAGCCTGACTGCAAACCGAAGTGCCATTATTTGTTGCGCATACAACAGAAGCAGCAGAAGTAATAGATCTACGACCTGTGGGTGCGCCAATAAGTCGGACGGGAATCAGACCTTCAGCCACGGGTGCCCGTGTCGATGTAGCGCTGCCAGTAGCGACCACTCGTACAAGAGCCCAGCCACCAGACTCCTGATCCTGAGAGGCGACTGACTCTTCAACTGAGACCTCAGAGGGCTTTTCAGAACTCAATGAAACAGGACGAGGTGCTGGCTGAGACAAGTTCAAGTTAGATACAAGTAAGGTGGGATTTGGACCGGCAGACTGACCACGTGGTAGACGTCTAGCTGAGTCACCTCCTGAAAATGTCAAAGAATCATCTTTGGCCTCATCAATTCCATTATTTAAGGGCAACTGGCGAGTATATAATGAGCCAGTGATAGAACCTCCATTATTTGAGTGGATTCTCTGTAGCACTTGGACAATTTGGTGGGCTGAGACCGAAATCTCACCGTCGGCTGTGGCCTTAAAACGGAAGTGAAGTAGGTCGAGGGTGTGAGAGTAAGCAAATGTGAAAGTTTAAGGTCAGATAAAAGATCTAAGAATCAGAGTTTTAAAATATAATAGATTCAGAATAAATATCCCAATATATCCTATACTCTTGTAGTTAGACAATACAATTGTGAGATGGGATATAGTGATTATGCGAACAAATGAAAATGAAAAGTAATGGGAATAGGCGGACCAGACTAGGAACGTATAAATGTGAAGGCACGGTTAATTGATAAATTCGATAAACTTTGCCTATTACTGTGGCATGACTCTCCATTTAGAAGGAATTTGTTGTGGTCTCACCGGAAACAGAAAGAGGATTGCCGCGTATGGAAGACTGTTGAATTGTGCGAAGAAGTCCTTGGCTCATCGTCCTGCGACCCCGATAAAACTTTGCTATACTTTAACCTGTACTGTGACAGGCATCATCAGAACAAGATTATATACTTTACGAAATAGAGCAAAAAATATACTAAACCAAGGGAAAATGGGCGCAAGAAAAACCAGTGAGCAAAAGAAGAAGGCTGGATTAGCCCCGAATCTCGTTATGACTATCATAGTTCCCATGACATAAGCATTACATACACATAAAATAGACAATAGCACAAGCCCAAACATGATTTAGCATTAGGCGATCGTGCGGTGGTTTTTGTGTGATGAAACAGCTGCCATCGAACACATTTCTGGTTAGGGAAATTAACTTTACTCATTTGCAAGTGTGTAGAATAAGGTTGAACTAGCCAACCAAATGAGGGGAGGCCTCATTAAGATCGCAATATTAGATGTATAAAATAGCGACTAGGGTTGCAGTTTGTCACTTTCTTCTCTTGGTTTAGTATATTTTTGCTCTATTTCGTAAAGTATAGAATCTTGCTCTGATGATGCCTGTAACAGTACAGGTTAAAGCTTAGCACAATTTAATCGGTCACAGCACGATGAGCCGAGAACTTCTTCGCACAATTCATACCATACCACAATTCTTCGATACGCGACCATATGATGAATTCCTTCCAACCATCTTTCCCTTTTAAATGGAGAGTCATGGCACGATATCCCATTAAAGAATTCTTCGAAACCCAGTTTTTTTCATTTGTTATAACTGTTGGAAAAGTCTTATTGTCTAGAATTTAGAGAATGGCTAAAGTTGCTTGCAAAATCAAAATTTTGGTAGATCTAGTTTTACGCAAAATTGTGTTTATATATGCAATGTAAGCAGGAATTGGTAAAGTTGACAAGAGCAGCCGAAATAAGTATAATAATAAATTAAATCAATCATGAGTAGATAATAAAAGCATAAGGAAATAAAGAGCAATTAAGGCTGATTATAAAATTTCAGTCAAACAAAGTTAGGAGGTTATAACAAGATCATATTGTTAAGAACAAAATGCAATGGTTTAAGCTTCACATCCAGATTGTGCCACAGTGCAATTGAGAAGTTTGCATTGAAAGCATTTTTAAAATTCATGTTTCGAAAATATTAATAAACCCCGAAAAAAATTTCAATTCCCCTAGTTGGCATAAGGTGGGGAAGGATTGATAGTTGAGTTTTCACATAATTAGATGAGGAAATATTAAGAAGTGTATAAACATACGCAAATACCATAAACCTGTGTTAATATAATGGGATTTTAAATTAACGTATGATAAACTGCATAGTAGTACTGAAATGACTTCATTAAACACCTGGTAGTTCTCGAGGATATAATGGGTCTCCAATTGTTCTGCGTCCTCAGAGAAAATATCCATGGT